ATCCAAAATAAACACAGCTGGATAAAAGTTGCTGAATGGTGACTTGTAACCATAGAAGAATAGTCAGTTACTCCAACATTCATAGTCATTAGGGTTGCAGAAGGAACCCATGCTTGTCGTAAGAGGCGACTAAGGGCATGTGAGTAACCTATGTGTCACATGATGTCAAATAAGTGTCATAAACATAAGATGGGTTTTTATGTTTGCAATTTGAGAGTAAAGTTTTAACATGTTGAGTAAAAGTTTTACAGGAGAACATATATTTCTTATTCAGTAATATATATATGACAAATGCTAAATCATTTCATGGCTGTACAATCAAATTTTTCTCAAATTGTCCCTCACTATTACACTATGTACTCATGATTACAGTCTGACCTTTAAACAGTGGAGAGCTGACCGTATGTGACCACGCTGAAAATTATCACCAACCATGTACACATGATTACAGTCTGACCTTTAACCTGCAATAAAACAATTTCTGGTCTACTTGAACCGGCGAGCACAGGAAGTCACACACAGGAAGCTAAACACATCAACCCTCCCAGGTCCGCACCAACTATCACCTACTTGAACATAATTTGTACACGCATAATTGATACAAATGACAGCATTAAATACTTAAAAATGGTGGTCAGTTTTAATGACTGGATGCTGCTGGTGCTTTTAACAAACATAACACCTTACACTATTTCATCCAATCACGGCTGTCACATGTCTCTTCAGTGACGGCTCAGCGAGCAAGCGATTCTGCTATGCCGAATTGCTTAGCGTTTTGTATTAATGCCTATAGACTGCGCCCAATTCACGCCTCTACGGACCCACGTGAATTTTAACAGCCACAACCGTTTACTGTTGACAGATATGGAAACATTCGGTGTTGTTCCTTGTGTGACAGCGTATTTTAAACTTTGATGCGCTGCGCTGATATTTTGACCTTATAAATCGCAGCTAAATTCCCCCTCATTGTGTGATATTAATTCTACGTTGAACGACGCGTATGCTTAGTCTGTCTCATAGTCCCTGAACCACATTATTTTCCCTACTGCCACATACCCTCTCTGCAGTGCTAAAACCCTAAATAAAACAAGTGTGGATTTCCTCAGGTTCTGAATCTCTGGTGTCCTTAGGGCTCCTTTTCAATTTTACTATCAAAAAATTATATATATATAAGCATTAACTTGTCGTGTGAACACTCGAGTCGGGCAAACTCATACCACTCATAAGATAATTGAATAATAATCACTTAGGTCAACCTGAAGGTGACACACACACCGGAAAGGGGACTCCCGAGGGAGGGTGGGTCACACAAAGGTCATACCTATGTTGCATCATAAAAAGAAAATGGAGGATCTGAGCCAGAACCCACGGTCATTGACACCCCTGTTAAATGAGGTCAGCCAGGTGTTCGATGATGACGTCATTTTAGGACTATTTCAACCCCCTTACAACATACATGTAATTAAATGTTTGTATCATTCTCTAATGACACCTTTGTATATATGAATATGTATGTACATGTATATTGTATTGTACATTATCCTGCCTCAATTATATCTCTCCGATGCCATCTTGGTGTATATGTGTATATATCGTTTTTCCACTTCACTCATGTACCACCGTTTGTGGAAGTTGAGAAAATAAAAAACCTTCGAACCTTTACCAGTCACAAGACGGGCCCAAACCATTCGTGTATAGGTACAGCGGTTTTCGTCCCAACTCACCATATATCACGTATAATGGTGTGGATTTCTTTAAAGGTAGACGTTTTCTAAGAAAGAGTAGATGTACATTTTTCTATCATATTAAGGTTTTCATGACCCAATATTTCACAACCATACAATATAACTGGTACTACCATAACATCGAAAAGATGTAATTGACGTTTTAAAGATAAGTTATTTTCTAGACCCTTTCTTCATACGAAGTACACTGCTTTGATGGATTGTTCAACAAGCGATTTGCGTGCTGTTATAAACCTATTTAATTTATGAAACATTACTCCTAGATATTTATACTTATCTACAAATTCTAGACTTGACCCACTCAAAATGAATAATTGTTGAGTGCCTCGCTTAGTTCCATCAATAACTATCAGTTTAGTTTTATCAAATTGATATTTACTTTAAGTTTCCATGTGGTACAGTAATTACTAAAGCTATCTAACATAAGCTGCATATCTTTAGGACAGTTAGATACAATGTGATCCTGAGTGGATTGTCCTAAGGATCTTGCTTATGGCGTGCCCCAGGATCGGTTCTTGGACCTCTACTTTTCACTGTTTATACTTCTCCTCTAGGTGATATCGTCAGATCCTTCAACCTTGGACTGCATTTATATGCTGACGACACTCAAATTTACATATCATTCAAACCCTTACTTTCCTCATCAGCTGTGTCTTCATTTCTCACCATTGAAGAGTGTGTCAGCTGCATCAAAAACTGGATGTCGTCACACTACCTCAAACTGAATGATGATAAAACTGAACTCATAGTTTTCCACCCTAAGCGTCTCCAACCCAGTATCTCTCTTCCTAAATTCAGCATCGGTCAGTGTGAGATTCAGCCAAACCATGAGGTGCGAAACTTGGGAGTTATTTTTGATTCCTCACTGTCCATGGAGCCACACATTAATAACATCTGTAGAAGGGCGTACTACCACATTCGCAACATCGGCATGATTCGACGATACCTGGACGTCAAGACTACAGCATCTCTTATTCAGGCATATGTAACATCTCATCTTGACTACTGTAATGCGCTTCTTGTGGGTCTCCCAAATTATCTTATACACAAGCTTCAGAAGGTGCAGAATACTGCAGCCAGAGTGGTCTCTCAGTCAAAGAAATCAGACCACATTACTCCCGTTCTTCACTCACTTCATTGGCTTCCCGTCCACTACCGCATAAAATATAAAACTCTACTCCTTGTTTTCAAAAGTATATGTGGTCTAACTCCTCAGTACCTCTGTGATCTGTTCCACCGTTATACTCCTGTACGTTCCCTCCGATCAAATGACCAGTGTCTTTTGACAATTCCTGTGACTAAAGTACTGTCGGAAATAGAAAAAAACTGTTTTTAGGCTGTTACTCTGTATCCCTAAAATATACACAACTGCAAATAGCATATGTCGAAATAACCCACTTCGGCCTAACTTGGCGTTCAGTGGGATGCGTAATAGGACATCCAGAAAAGCATGTGTACTCGTAAAATCGGGCAAAACTTAGAAAAATTACGAATAGCTGCTGAAAACAATAGATCAGACTATAGATGACAATTAGGTCGCTCAGCCAGGTATGACGACGGACCGTCGACTCACCTGGCATGAAATGCATGTGCTGCCTGCAGGCACAAGGGGGCATCTCAAAGATATTTTGTGCTTTTTCATGTGTGCTGACTATGTCTCACCTATTGCTTGCCCTAAAGGATTATCTTATCTTAGCTGATACTCTATCCCCTAGCCCGACCCCAACGATCGTCTGCGACACCCCTCTAGGTTTTGCTTTTGAGATGAACCCTCCTATCTGTTTCTTTTTATAGTGACAGTGACACTCCGTCGAAGCTACATCCTTAACAGTTTCAGCATGAAAGTTATTATTTTTTACGCCAGCTATCGTTTATAATGAAGCTACGTCTAATTTCAATTGGGCATTTAAAAAGTGTCCTTTGTAATACAATATCGTCGCACACTAATTTGCATAAAGCCATGGTCTGTTCCAAATAAATCGTTTTGGACTTAGAAAAAAATCGCATTGCTCATTTCTGCACTAATCTCTCCTCAGTAAAGTCCTTTTTCTACGTTTCCTATGTCCCTACCACTGAGACTGTGGTTAGGTCGAACTTAGTTTAACAGATATTTGACACTTGCACATATCAACTACATAAATTGTAGAGATAAATGAGAAAATACAGTTTTTTCTATTTCCGACACTACTTTAGGACAAAACATATGGTGACAGGTCACTCGAGACGACTGGCCCTCATCTCTGGAACAACCTCACCTCAGAACACAACCAGATTTAGCTGTTTTTAAATCAAATCTAAAGACGCGTCTCTTTGCTGAAGCACTTTAACTCTATGTGATATCTAGACCATCTTAGAGCCAAAGGGCCTTTGAGCGGTTTACGGATATTGGCCCTATACAAGTATTTGTATGTATGTATGTATGTATGTACACGAGACACCACGCCAACGCCCAGTGTCAATCTTGTCGCCAATTGACGCCTCAACATGCATGGACTGGTTGACATGTTATCCACCTGCCGTATAACCTTTGACCGTTTCAAATGGGTCATCACGATTGTGATAAGAGTTCCTTAATCACACACGTCCACAAATGTAAACGCATTTACTTTCCTTGCTAATATCGATCTGCTAAAAAAACAAAATAAACATTATCACTCCTGTGATCACAATTACCACTGTTTGTTTTTTTACTGCTCTTTATCTGTACTTGGATCCCTCCTGCCACGTCCTGTATTTTCAAAAGTTTCTGATAATAGTACAGCGACCTCTTATCACCCCTATTGTTGGTTTCACTTATGTCGTTTATGAAAAACATATTTCTTACGTGATGGCGGTTAACGTGATAATCCATGAAACAGGTATTCACAAACATTGCAATAATCCGGCTCCTCTCTCGTAAATGTTTACGTTTGCAATATACCCTTATATTTCTTTAAATGGTTTCACTCTTTGGATTGTAGCCCGAACACCTTATGACTTATCTATACTGAACTTCCTGTCAACTCTACCACGGGGGGCCTACAGGTACAATGGAAAGGTGAACATATTTTTCTATTTGACCGGGTTCGATTCCCAACATCTGTACAAGAAGTTAAGTTCGTTCCTGAACCAATCCGAGTCATCTTCCCGAAAGACTGTCATTCGTATACGGCCATGAGCCTCTTTTTGGTTCACCGTGCAATTGACAATATTTGAAGTGTTAACAGACATTAAATATGTTATGGAATATTCAGAGTGATGACGTGGATAAATAAATTAAGACTAAACTAAAAGTTTAATAATTTGATCATATCATGATATCGTCCATCTCATGTCTCACACTTTCAACTGTGTGGTCACATCGTCACACGTCACATATTTCAGTGTGACACTGTGTGTTCATATCGTAGCCTTCACTTCTCGACGTGACACTGTTCATATCATATCCTTCACTTCTCGACGTGACACTGTGTTCATATCGTATCCTTCACTTCTCGGTGTGACACTGTGTGTTCACATCATATCCTTCACTTCTCGGTGTGACACTGTTTGTTCATATCATATCCTTCACTTCTTGGTGTGACACTGTTCATATCGTATCCTTCACTTCTCGGTGTGACAGTGTTTGTGCATATCATATCCTTTACTTCTTGGTGTGACACTGTGTGTCCACATCATATCCTTCACTTCTCGGTGTGACACTGTTTGTTCATATCATATCCTTCACTTCTCGATGTGACACTGTTCATATCATATCCTTCACTTCTTGGTGTGACACTGTGTGTCCACATCATATCCTTCACTTCTCGGTGTGACACTGTTCATATCATATCCTTCACTTCTCGATGTGACACTGTTCATATCATATCCTTCACTTCTCGGTGTGACACTGTGTTCATATCATATCCTTCACTTCTCGGTGTGACATTGTTCATATCATATCCTTCACTTCTCGGTGTGACACTGTGTTCATATCATATCCTTCACTTCTCGGCGTGACACTGTTCATATCGTATCCTTCACTTTTCGATGTGACACAATGAGGTCACATAATATCCTTCACTTCTCGAGTGTGACAATGTTTATTCATATCGTATGCTTCACTTCGCGAGTGTGACACAATGAGGTCACACCATATCCTTCACTTCTAGGTGTGACACTGTGTTCATATCATATCCTTCACTTCTCGGTGTGACACTGTGTTCATATCATATCCTTCACTTCTCGGTGTGACATTGTTCATATCATATCCTTCACTTCTCGGTGCGACACTGTGTTCATATCATATCCTTCACTTCTCGGTGTGACACTGTTCATATCATATCCTTCACTTCTCGGTGTGACACTGTGTTCATATCATATCCTTCACTTCTCGGTGTGACATTGTTCATATCATATCCTTCACTTCTCGGTTTGACACTGTTCATATCAGGGGCGGTGGGGTAGCCTAATGGTTAAAGCGTTGGCTCGTCACGCCGCAGACCCGGGTTCGAATCCCCACATGGGCACAATGTGTTAAGCCCATTTCTGGTGTCCCCCGCCGTGATGTTGCTGGAATATTGCTAAAAGCGGCGTAAAACCAAAACTCAGTCAGTCAGTCAGTCAGTGTTCATATCATATCCTTCACTTCTCGGTGTGACATTGTTCATATCATATCCTTCACTTCTCGGTGTGACACTGTGTTCATATCATATCCTTCACTTCTCGGTGTGACATTGTTCATATCATATCCTTCACTTCTCGGTGTGACACTGTGTTCATATCATATCCTTCACTTCTCGGCGTGACACTGTTCATATCGGATCCTTCACTTCTCGATGTGACACAATGAGGTAACATAATATCCTTCACTTCTCGAGTGTGACAATGTTTATTCATATCGTATGCTTCACTTCGCGAGTGTGACACAATGAGGTCACACCATATCCTTCACTTCTCAGGGTGACACTATGGGGGTCACATAGTGCACCTCACTTCTCGGTGTGACACGATGAGATCACGTCATATGCGTCACTTCTCGGTGTGACACTATCTGGTCACATCGTATTCTTCGTGTCTGTTACTGTGCACTGTTGCTCGCGGAACGATGTTCGGCTTTTCTACGTAAAGAAAGCTATATGTTGGCTGAAAAACAACAACATCCAACATTATAAAACTTCAAAATTATATCACGCCTACCCCTGTTATCATCCCTGAACATTATAAACTGTATAGAGACTGACAGAGAGTGACATGGAGTCAGTGAGGGCCATTTTGTTCCTGTCTGACGAGATACTGACAGATATTGGACTACTCACTTACACTCAGGACAACAGGACTAGTGTTTACACGAGCCACAAAAGGCCACCATTGTTCCATTCTGATTGTGTATTAGCAGAAATATTTTGGCTTAAGATTGTGTCCTTTACCTGTAATATTTCTCATTTATGTCAGCATAAATCCATGTGTAGAACTGCCTGGTCTCTTGTTTTACATTTCTGTACGACAAAGACCGCAATCCCTCTGACTGCATCCGTTCCTCGGCCGTAAACAGCAATTGGTACCTGGAGGACAAGGGGAGATTATTAACGGGTATCACCATGACAACGCCGCCCAGTTAATGGAAAAAACACGAATAACGCGATGGAAGCATTATGGGTCAGTCACCATTGGGTTATGGTCAGCTTCACATAATAACTAACGTCAGCGTCTACAGGACTCCGGTAAGCGTCATCAGTTTAAGTTTTACGTCACCTACTATGCACAGGGCTACAATCGTAATCCACTTAGTTAACGTCAGCTACTACAGGGCTGTTGTCAGCGTCATCCGTTTAGGTAACGTCACCTACTATGTACAGGGCTGTTGTCAGCGTCATCCGTTTAGGTAACGTCACCTACTATGTACAGGGCTGTTGTCAGCGTCATCCGTTTAGTTAACGTCACCTACTATGTACAGGGCTGTTGTCAGCGTCATCCGTTTAGGTAACGTCAACTATGTACAGGGCTCACGTCATCCGTTTAGTTAATGTATGTACAGGGCTGTTGTCAGCGTCATCCGTTTAGGTAACGTCACCTACTATGTACAGGGCTGTTGTCAGCGTCATCCGTTTAGGTAACGTCACCTACTATGTACAGGGCTGTTGTCAGCGTCATCCGTTTAGGTAACGTCACCTACTATGTACAGGGCTGTTGTCAGCGTCATCCGTTTAGTTAACGTCACCTACTATGTACAGGGCTGTTGTCAGCGTCATCCGTTTAGGTAACGTTTTTAATGCACCTACTATGTACAGGGCTGAACATATGGCTGTTTAGTTAACGTCATCCCCTACAGTATATCAGCGTCACCTGGTATTGCTGACACTGTTTCCCTTGTCAGCGTATCCGTACCTGGTAACGTCACCTACTGTTTCCACAGTATATAGTACCTGGTATTGCTGACACTGTTTCCCTACAGTATATAGTACCTGGTATTGCCAACACTGTTTCCCTACAGTCTATAGTACCTGGTATTGCTGGCACTGTTTCCCTACAGTCTATAGTCCCTGGTATTGCTGACACTGTTTCCCTACAGGTATATCAGCGTCACCTGGTATTGCTGACACTGTTTCCTACAGTCTATAGTACCTGGTATTGCTGACACTGTTTCCCTACAGTATATAGCACCCGGTATTGCTGACACTGTTTCCCTACACTCTATAGTACCTAGTATTGCTGACACTGTTTCCCTACAGTATATGGTACCTGGTATTGCTGACACTGTTTCCCCTGCAGTCTATAGTACCTGGTTTTGCTGACACTGTTTCCCTACAGTCTATAGTACCTGGTGTTGCTGATACTGTTTCCCTACAGTATATAGTACCTGGTATTGCCAACACTGTTTCCCTACAATCTATGGCACCTGGTATTGCTGACACTGTTTCCCTGCAGTCTTTAGTGTCTGGTATTGCTGACACTGTTTCCCTACAATATATAGTACCTGGTATTGCTGACACTGTTTCCCTACAGTATATATAACCTGGTATTGTAGACACTGTTTCCCTGCAGTCTATAGTACCTGGTATTGCTGACACTGTTTCCTTACTGTATATAGTACCTGGTATTCCTGACACTGTTTCCCTACAGTATATAGTACCTGGTATTGCTGGCACTGATTCCCTACAGTCTAGAGTACCTGGTATTGCTGACACTGTTTCCCTACAATCTATGGCACCTGGTATTGCTGACACTGTTTCCCTGCAGTCTTTAGTGTCTGGTATTGCTGACACTGTTTCCCTACAATATATAGTACCTGGTATTGCTGACACTGTTTCCCTACAGTATATATAACCTGGTATTGTAGACACTGTTTCCCTGCAGTCTATAGTACCTGGTATTGCTGACACTGTTTCCTTACTTTATATAATACCTGGTATTCCCGACACTGTTTCCCTACAGTATATAGTACCTGGTATTGCTGGCACTGATTCCCTACAGTCTAGAGTACCTGGTATTGCTGACACTGTTTCCCTACAGTATATAGTACCTGGTATTGCTGACACTGTTTCCCTACAGTGTATAGTACCTGGTATTGCTGACACAGTTTCCCTACAGTATATAGAACCTGGTATTGCCGACACTGATTCCCTGCAGTCTATAGTACCTGGTACTGCTGACACTGTTTCCATACAATATATAGTACCTGGTATTGCTGACACTGTTTCCCTACAGTATATAGTACCTGGTATTGCCAACACTGTTTCCCTACAGTCTATAGTACCTGGTATTGCTGACACTGTTTCCCTACAGTCTATGGCACCTGGTATTGCTGACACTTGTTCCCTGCAGTCTATAGTACCTGGTATTGCTGACACTGTTTCCCTACAGTCTATAGTACCTGGTATTGCTGACACTGTTTCCCTACAGTATATAGAACCTGGTATTGCTGACACTGTTTCCCTGCAGTCTATAGTAGCTGGTATTGCTGACACTGTTTCCCTACAGTATATAATACCTGGTATTGCTGACACTGTTTCCCTACAGTATATAGTACCTGGTATTGCTGACACTGTTTCCATACAATATATAGTACCTGGTATTGCTGACACTGTTTCCCTACAGTATATAGAACCTGGTATTGCCGACACTGTTTCCCTACAGTCTATAGTACCTGGTATTGCTGACACTGTTTCCCTACAATATATAGTACCTGGTATTGCTGACACTGTTTCCCTACAGTATATAGAACCTGGTATTGCCGACACTGTTTCCCTACAGTCTATAGTACCTGGTATTGCTGACACTGTTTCCCTACAGTATATAGTACCTGGTATTGCTGACACTGTTTCCCTACAGTATATAGTACCTGGTATTGCCGACACTGATTCCCTGCAGTCTATAGTACCTGGTATTGCTGACACTGTTTCCCTACAGTATATAGTACCTGGTATTGCTGACACTGTTTCCCTACAGTATATAGTACCTGGTATTGCCAACACTGTTTCCCTACAGTCTATAGTACCTGGTATTGCTGACACTGTTTCCCTACAGTCTATGGCACCTGGTATTGCTGACACTGTTTCCTGCAGTCTATAGTAGCTGGTTTGACACTGTTGCCATACAATATATAGTACCTGGTATTGCTGACACTGTTTCCCTACAGTATATAGAACCTGGTATTGCTGACACTGTTTCCCTACAGTCTATAGTACCTGGTATTGCTGACACTGTTTCCCTACAGTCTATAGTACCTGGTATTGCTGACACTGTTTCCCTACAGTATATAATACCTGGTATTGCTGACACTGTTTCCCTACAGTATATAGTACCTGGTATTGCTGACACTGTTTCCCTACAGTATATAGTACCTGGTATTGCTGACACTGTTTCCCTACAGTCTATAGTACCTGGTATTGCTGACACTGTTTCCCTACAGTCTATAGTACCTGGTATTGCTGACACTGTTTCCCTACAGTCTATAGTACCTGGTATTGCTGACACTGTTTCCCTACAGTCTATAGTACCTGGTATTGCTGACACTGTTTCCCTACAGTATATAGTACCTGGTATTGCTGACACTGTTTCCCTACAGTATATAGTACCTGGTATTGCTGACACTGTTTCCCTACAGTCTATAGTACCTGGTATTGCTGACACTGTTTCCCTACAGTATATAGTACCTGGTATTCATGGCACTGTTTCCCTACAGTCTATAATACCTGGTATTGCCGACACTGTTTCCCTACAGTCTATAGTACCTGGTATTGCTGACACTGTTTCCCTACAGTATATAGTACCTGGTATTGCTGACACTGTTTCCCTACAGTCTATAGTACCTGGTATTGCCTACACTGTTTCCCTACAGTCTATAGTACCTGGTATTGCTGACACTGTTTCCCTACAGTATATAGTACCTGGTATTGCTGACACTGTTTCCCTACAGTCTATGGCACCTGGTATTGTTGACACTGTTTCCCTGCAGTCTATAGTACCTGGTATTGCTGACACTGTTTCCCTGCAATATATAGTACCTGGTATTGCTGACACTGTTTCCCTACAGTATATAGTACCTGGTATTGCTGACACTGTTTCCCTTCAGTCTATATAGTACCTGGTATTGCTGACACTGTTTCCTACAGTCTATAATTACCTGGTATTGCTGACACTGTTTCCCTACAGTCTATAGTACCTGGTATTGCTGACACTGTTTCCCTACAGTATATAGTACCTGGTATTGCTGACACTGTTTCCCTACAGTATATAGTACCTGGTATTGCCGACACTGTTTCCCTACAGTCTATAGTACCTGGTATTGCCAACACTGTTTCCCTACTGTCTATAGTACCTGGTATTGCTGACACTGTTTCCCTACAGTATTTGGTACCTGGTATTGCTGACACTGTTTCCCCTGCAGTCTATAGTACCTGGTATTGCCTACACTGTTTCCCTACAGTCTATAGTACCTGGTATTGCTGACACTGTTTCCCTACAGTCTATGGCACCTGGTATTGTTGACACTGTTTCCCTGCAGTCTATAGTACCTGGTATTGCTGACACTGTTTCCCTGCAATATATAGTACCTGGTATTGCTGACACTGTTTCCCTACAGTATATAGAACCTGGTATTGCTGACACTGTTTCCCTTCAGTCTATAGTACCTGGTATTGCTGACACTGTTTCCCTACAGTATATAGTACCTGGTATTGCTGACACTGTTTCCCTACAGTATATAATACCTGGTATTGCTGACACTGTTTCCCTACAGTCTATAGTACCTGGTATTGCTTACACTGTTTCCCTGCAGTAAATAGTACCTGGTATTGCTGACACTGTTTCCTACAGTATATATACCTGGTATTGCCAACACTGTTTCCCTACTGTCTATAGTACCTGGTATTGCTGACACTGTTTCCCTACAGTATATGGTACCTGGTATTGCTGACACTGTTTCCCCTGCAGTCTATAGTACCTGGTATTGCTGACACTGTTTCCCTACAGTCTATAGTACCTGGTATTGCTGACACTGTTTCCCTACAGTCTATGGCACCTGGTATTGTTGACACTGTTTCCCTGCAGTCTATAGTACCTGGTATTGCTGACACTGTTTCCCTGCAATATATAGTACCTGGTATTGCTGACACTGTTTCCCTACAGTATATAGTACCTGGTATTGCTGACACTGTTTCCTTCAGTCTATAGTACCTGGTTTTGCTGACACCGTTTCCTACAGTATATAGTGGTATTTGCTGGCCTGGTATTCATGGTGCACTGTTTCCCTACAGTCTATAATACCTGGTATTGCTGACACTGTTTCCCTACAGTATATAGTACCTGGTATTGCTGACACTGTTTCCTACAGTCTATAGTACCTGGTATTGCTGACACTGTTTCCTCACAGTATTTGTATTGCTGACACTGTTTCCCTGCATTCTATGGTACTTGGTATTGCTGACACTGTTTCCTACAGTCTATAGTACCTGGTATTGCTGACACTGTTTCCCTACAGTATATAGTACCTGGTATTGCTTGACACTGTTTCCCTACAGTCTATAGTACCTGGTATTGCTGACACTGTTTCCTGCAGTATATAGTACCTGGTATTGCTGACACTGTTTCCCTGTCAATATATATTGTTGTACCTGGTATTTCTGACACTGTTTCCTACAGTCTATAATACCTGGTATTGCTGACACTGTTTCCTTACAGTATATAGTAACTGGTATTGCTGACACTGTTTCCTATAGTGTATAGTACCTGGTATTGCTGACACTGTTTCCCTACAGTCTATAATACCTGGTATTGCTGACACTGTTTCCCTACAGTATATAGTACCTGGTATTGCTGACACTGTTTCCCTACAGTCTATAATACCTGGTATTGCTGACACTGTTTCCCTACAGTATATAGTACCTGGTATTGCTGACACTGTTTCCCTACAGTCTATAGTACCTGGTATTGCCTACACTGTTTCCTGCAGTACATCTATAGGTACCTGGTATTGCTGACACTGTTTCCCTACAGTATATAGTACCTGGTATTGCTGACACTGTTTCCCTACAGTCTATAATACCTGGTATTGCTGACACTGTTTCCCTACAGTCTATAATACCTGGTATTGCTGACACTGTTTCCCTACAGTATATAGTACCTGGTATTGCTGACACTGTTTCCCTTACTGTCTATATATACCTGGTATTGCTGACACTGTTTCCTACAGTCTATAGTACCTGGTATTGCTGACACTGTTTCCCTACAGTCTATAACCTGGTACCTGGTACTGCTGACCTGTTTCCTACAGTCTATAGTACCTGGTATTGCTGACACTGTTTCCCTACAGTCTATAGTACCTGGTATTGCTGACACTGTTTCCCTACAGTATATAGTACCTGGTATTGCTGACACTGTTTCCCTACAGTATATAGAACCTGGTATTGCTGACACTGTTTCCCTTCAGTCTATAGTACCTGGTATTGCTGACACTGTTTCCCTACAGTATATAGTACCTGGTATTGCCGACACTGTTTCCCTACAGTATATAATACCTGGTATTGCTGACACTGTTTCCCTACAGTCTATAGTACCTGGTATTGGTTACACTGTTTCCCTGCAGTAAATAGTACCTGGTATTGCTGACACTGTTTCCCTACAGTATATAGTACCTGGTATTGCCAACACTGTTTCCCTACTGTCTATAGTACCTGGTATTGCTGACACTGTTTCCCTACAGTATTTGGTACCTGGTATTGCTGACACTGTTTCCCCTGCAGTCTATAGTACCTGGTATTGCCTACACTGTTTCCCTACAGTCTATAGTACCTGGTATTGCTGACACTGTTTCCCTACAGTCTATGGCACCTGGTATTGTTGACACTGTTTCCCTGCAGTCTATAGTACCTGGGATTGCTGACACTGTTTCCCTGCAATATATAGTACCTGGTATTGCTGACACTGTTTCCCTACAGTATATTGTACCTGGTATTGCCGACACTGTTTCCCTTCAGTCTATAGCACCTGGTTTTGCTGACACCGTTTCCCTACAGTATATAGTACCTGGTAGTCATGGCACTGTTTCCCTACAGTCTATAATACCTGGTATTGCCGACATTGTTTCCCTACAGTATATAGTACCTGGTATTGCCAACACTGTTTCCCTACAGTCTATAGTACCTGGTATTGCTGACACTGTTTCCCTACAGTATATGGTACCTGGTATTGCTGACACTGTTTCCCCTGCATTCTATAGTACCTGGTATTGCTGACACTGTTTCCCTACAGTCTATAGTACCTGGTATTGCTGACACTGTTTCCCTACAGTATATAGTACCTGGTATTGCTGACACTGTTTCCCTACAGTCTATAATACCTGGTATTGCTGACACTGTTTCCCTGCAGTATATAGTACCTGGTATTGCTGACACTGTTTCCCTACAGTATATAGTACCTGGTATTGCTGACACTGTTTCCCTACAGTCTATAATACCTGGTACTGCTGCCACTGTTTCCTTACAGTCTATAGTACCTGGTATTGCTGACACTGTTTCCCTACAGTCTATAGTACCTGGTATTGCTGACACTGTTTCCCTACAGTCTATAATACCTGGTACTGCTGACACTGTTTCCCTACAGTATATAGTACCTGGTATTGCTGACACTGTTTCCTTACAGTCTATAATACCTGGTATTGCTGACACTGTTTCCCTACAGTATATAGTACCTGGTATTGCTGACACTGTTTCCCTACAGTCTATAATACCTGGTATTGCTGACACTGTTTCCCTACAGTCTATAGTACCTGGTATTGCTGACACTGTTTCCCTACAGTATATAGTACCTGGTATTGCTGACACTGTTTCCCTACTGTCTATAATGCCTGGTACTGCTGCTGACACTGTTTCCCTACAGTCTATAATACCTGATATTGCTGACACTGTTTCCCTACAGTATATAGTACCTGGTATTGCTGACACTGTTTCCCTACTGTCTATAATACCTGGTACTGCTGACACCGTTTCCCTACAGTCTATAGTACCTGGTATTGCTGACACTGTTTCCCTACAGTCTATAATACCTGGTACTGCTGACACTGTTTACTTACAGTCTATAGTACCTGGTATTGCTGACACTGTTTCCCTACAGTCTATAGTACCTGGTATTGCTGACACTGTTTCCCTACAGTATATAGTACTTGGTATTGCTGACACTGTTTCCCTACAGTCTATAATACCTGGTATTGCTGACACTGTTTCCCTACAGTATATAATACCTGGTATTTCGCACACTTTTTCCTTTAGTCTATAATACCTGGTATTGCTGACACTGTTTCCCTACAGTCTATAGTACCTGGTATTGCTGACACTGTTTCCCTACAGTCGATAGTACCTGGTATTGCTGATACTGTTTCCCCTGTCTTCGGTGTGGTACACAGCCTTGTATCTCCCTATCTTGGGGGAGTAACGGGATATCCTGTATCCCTTATAAGCCAGTCTAGAACAGAAAGGAGTGGAAGCATAAGGTTGACAATTGCATGGGTGGATCATTTGGGTGACTCTGGTATGGGCTGATTTTAAGATGATTGTAAATTCAAATTAATTTTGAAAGCATCACCCATCGCATTGCTTTCTAAACAACTTCAGAAAAAAGAGGAAAATATATGGATGTTCTATATGGTCGACTAGAGTTTGTGTGTACCACATGCTCGAATGTGGTTTGTGTGTACTATATGGTCGACTAGTGTCTGTCTGTGTACTATATGGTCGACTAGTGTGTGTGTGTACTATATGGTCGACTAGTGTCTGTGTGTACTATATGGTCGACTAGTGTGTGTGTGTACTATATGGTCGACTAGTGTCTGTGTGTACTATATGGTCGACTAGTGTGTGTGTGTACTATATGGTCGACTAGTGTGTGTGTGTACTATATGGTCGACTAGTGTGTCTGTGTGTACTATATGGTCGACTAGTGTCTGTGTGTACTATATGGTCGACTAGTGTGTGTGTGTACTATATGGTCGACTAGTGTGTGTGTGTACTATATGGTCGACTAGTGTGTGTGTGTACTATATGGTCGACTAGTGTGTGTGTGTACTATATGGTCGACTAGTGTTTGTGTGTACTATATGGTCGACTAGTGTTTGTGTGTGTACTATATGGTCGACTAGTGTTTGTGTGTACTATATGGTCGACTAGTGTGTGTGTGTACTATATGGTCGACTAGTGTTTGTGTGTACTATATGGTCGACTATGGTCGACTAGTTTGTGTGCACTATATTCGACTAGTGTGTGTGTGTACTATATGGTCGACTAGTGTAGTGTTTGTGTGTACTATATGGTCGACTAGTGTCTGTGTGTACTATATGGTCGACTAGTGTTTGTGTGTACTATATGGTCGACTAGTGTTTGTGTGTACTATATGGTCGACTAGTGTGTGTGTGTGTATTAGTGTGTACTATATGGTCGACTAGTGTTTGTGTGTACGGTCGACTAGTGTGTGTGTGTACTATATGGTCGACTAGTGTGTGTACTATATGGTCGACTAGTGTTTGTTATGTACTATATGGTCGACTAGTGTTTGTGTGTACTATATGGTCGACTAGTGTTTGTGTGTACTATATGGTCGACTAGTGTTTGTGTGTACTATATGGTCGACTAGTGTGTGTGTGTACTATATGGTCGACTAGTGTTTGTGTGTACTATATGGTCGACTAGTGTTTGTGTGTACTATATGGTCGACTAGTGTTTGTGTGTACTATATGGTCGACTAGTGTGTGTGTACCATATGGTCGACTGTGTACTATATGGTCGACTAGTGTGTGTGTGTGTACTATATGGTCGACTAGTGTTTGTGTGTACTATATGGTCGACTAGTGTTTGTGTGTACTATATGGTCGACTAGTGTGTGTGTGTGTACTATATGGTCGACTAGTGTTTGTGTGTACTATATGGTCGACTAGTGTGTGTGTGTACTATATGGTCGACTAGTGTGTGTGTGTGTACTATATGGTCGACTAGTGTGTGTGTGTACTATATGGTCGACTAGTGTTTGTGTGTACCTATATGGTCGACTAGTGTTTGTGTGTGTACTATATATGGTCGACTAGTGTCGTGTGTGTGTACTATATGGTCGACTAGTGTTGTGTGTGTACTATATGGTCGACTAGTGTGTGTGTGTGTACTATATGGTCGACTAGTGTTTGTGTGTACTATATGGTCGACTAGTGTGTGTGTGTACTATATGGTCGACTAGTGTTTGTGTGTGTACTATATGGTCGACTAGTGTTTGTGTGTACTATATGGTCGACTAGTGTGTGTGTGTACTATATGGTCGACTAGTGTGTGTGTGTGTACTATATGGTCGACTAGTGTGTCTGTGTGTACTATATGGTCGACTAGTGTGTGTGTGTACTATATGGTCGACTAGTGTGTTTGTGTGTACTATATGGTCGACTAGTGTTTGTGTGTACTATATGGTCGGCTAGTGTGTGTGTGTGTACTATATGGTCGACTAGTGTTTGTGTGTACTATATGGTCGACTAGTGTGTGTGTGTACTATATGGTCGACTAGTGTCTGTGTGCACTATATGGTCGACTAGTGTTTGTGTGTACTATATGGTCGACTAGTGTTTGTGTGTACTATATGGTCGACTAGTGTGTGTGTGTGTACTATATGGTCGACTAGTTTGTGTGTGTACTATATGGTCGACTAGTGTGTGTGTGTACTATATGGTCGACTAGTGTTTGTGTGTACTATATGGTCGACTAGTGTTTGTGTGTACTATATTGTCGACTAGTGTTTGTGTGTACTATATAGTCGACTAGTGTCTGTGTGTACTATATGGTCGACTAGTGTTTGTGTGTACTATATGGTCGACTAGTGTTTGTGTGTACTATATGGTCGACTAGTGTGTGTGTGTGTACTATATGGTCGACTAGAGTTTGTGTGTACTATTTGGTCTACTAGAATTTGTGTGTACTATATGGTCGACTAGTGTCTGTGTGTACTATATGGTCCACTAGTGTGTGTGTGTACCAAATGGTCGACTAGTGTGTGTGTGTACTATATGGTCGACTAGTGTGTCTGTGTGTACTATATGGCGACTAGTGTGTGTGTGTGTACTATATGGTCGACTAGTGTGTGTGTGTACTATATTGTCGACTAGTGTTTGTGTGTACTATATGGTCGGCTAGTGTGTGTGTGTGTACTATATGGTCGACTAGTGTTTGTGTGTACTATATGGTCGACTAGTGTTTGTGTGTACTATATGGTCGACTAGTGTTTGTGTGTACTATATGGTCGACTAGTGTGTGTGTGTACTATATGGTCGACTAGTGTGTGTGTGTACTATATGGTCGACTAGTGTTTGTGTGTACTATATGGTCGACTAGTGCTTGTGTGTACTATATTGTCGACTAGTGTTTGTGTGTACTATATAGTCGACTAGTGTTTGTGTGTACTATATGGTCGACTAGTGTTTGTGTGTACTATATGGTCGACTAGTGTTTGTGTGTACTATATGGTCGACTAGTGTGTGTGTGTGTACTATATGGTCGACTAGAGTTTGTGTGTACTATTTGGTCGACTAGAATTTGTGTGTACTATATGGTCGACTAGTGTCTGTGTGTACTATATGGTCCACTAGTGTGTGTGTGTACCAAATGGTCGACTAGTGTGTGTGTGTACTATATGGTCGACTAGTGTTTGTGTGTATTATATGCTCGAATGGTGTTTTTGTATACTGTATGCTCGATTGTGTTTTTTGTGTACTTTATGCTCGTATGTGGTTTGTGTGTACTATATATATTCGTCAGGTGTTTGTGTGTACTATTTGTTCGACTGGGGTTTGCGTGTACTATTTGTGTGAATACTATTCATGTATTTGACGATCATGGGTAATTACAAACTACTCTATTCCGACATCATTGATGGGTGGGATGCCATACCATACCTGCACAACAAGTCGTCGTCTTCTCCGCCCCAGCCGAAGTACAGGTTTGAGTGTCCGTTGATGTCCAAGTAAATATCCTTCGACAGCGCCATGACACCACCAGCATAAGCATGAAATCCGCCACCACTGAAAGACAGAGTATGACAGCACCCTTATAGTCTTCAACGTTTACGGGAAAGACAGTTAGGCACAGAGAAGATGGCCAATAACTGTGCCGCCGATCTAGGTAGTCCGTTTCTGGATGGACTTCAGTCGGAATTCAGCCCCGACTGGAAAGATCGACACAAGAGAATTTGGTCAGACATTTAACTAAAGATTCGGGTTTATGGTTGATCTGATGTTGTTCAATAACCGTCTAACAGACAATTCACTTCCACTGATTTACCAGTCTCAGGAAGAAATAAAGGACGCCATTGCAACCTTCTTGTATGCTTCATATTGAGATCTAGTAATGGAGATTGAAAGTGACACTAAAACTCTCAAGGACAGCATGAGAAGAGGGAAGATTTGATCTTTCCGAAAGATAACCTTCTCTTTAGGTCAAGCAGCATATTCCAACAGTTTTAGTTTTTGGTGTATACCTTTCACAATTTTTGAAGTACTGTAGACCCTGCTCTTTCTACGCTGATTTCAAATAACGTCATACGGTTCTTGCGTCTGGCGTGACACACATCTAGGGATCGTTACAGTGGTGACCTACTTGTCATACTTGCTGTTAGACACAGCCATGTGTCTGGGCGTGGCGCCACACATGGGAACCTTACATTGGTGACCTACTTGTTATGTTTGCTGTTAGACACAGCCATGTGTCTGGGCGTGGGAACGTTACCATGGTGACCTACTTGTCATATTTGCTGTTAGACACAGCCATGTGTCTTGGCGTGGAACCACATCGGTAGAGATTGTGATCCGTCACCGGCAAGAGATCCACATCGTGGAAGATAAAGCATGTGAAGTTGTTCGTCTTGAGAGCTTCCAAAAAGCCAATGTTCATTAGGAGGGCTCTGTTAAACGTAACGTTGGGCACCTACAACAGAATGGTACAACAGACATGTGAACTGATATATATCTTTGGAGTGTGATAGTCATGTACGGCTACAGCTGAATACCATAAATGATATTTATATATCAGAGTGAGTGAGTGAGTTTTAGTTTTACGCCGCTTTTAGCGATATTCCAGCGATATCACGGTAGGGGACACCAGAAATAGGCTTCACACATTGTACCCATGTTGGGAATCGAACCCGGGCCTTTGGCGTGACAAGCTAACGCTTTAACCACTAGGCTACCCCACCGCCCCTTTTATATAAACTGGCGTTCAAATGAAAGTACACAGGCAAAGATTTAGTCAAATAGCACAAAATTAACAATTTTTAAAAGATAATTTCATGTGTTTATTGAGGCACATGGTCAAACAGAACTCCTCACAATAAAATGAAACTTTAAGCGTGAACATTATTGACTTAAGGTACTGTCAAACATGCACGGGGTCCAAATGACACATTTCATTATTGCAGATGAAAAGTTCAATGTTGATTACCAGACACCCAAATGTCACAAAAACAGGTATCACATTCAGTATCTTGTATGACCTCCACGGGCATCAATGCAAGCCTGTACTCGCCTGATGACGTCATTTGGAATTCTTGCCCATTCCTCATGGAGAGCATTTTCAAGCTGTCGTACATTAACGGGCTGCTGTTGCCGAAGTCGGAGTTGTCTTCCGAGATGGTCCCATAGAAGTTCAATCGGGTTGAGATCAGGTGAGATCAGGTGAACGAGCGGGCCATGGCAATACATCAATATTATGGTGCTGGAGAAAGTCCTGGCTGTGTGGGGTCTGGCGTTATCATGCTGGAAAGGCAGTACATGATGAAAGGCAGTACAACAGGTCGCAACACCTCATCACAGTATCGCTGGGCATTCAGATTGCCATGAATTATCACTAAACGTGTCTTCTGATCACCACAAATTGCTCCCCAGACCATAACACCACCACCACCAAAGGGGTGAACATCTTGTATACAGTTTGGTGCCAACCGTTCTCCCCGACGCCGATACACCCTAATTCTACCGTCAGCATGAAACAGATTGAATCTGCTCTCATCACTGAAGAGGACACCTACCCAGTTACGACGTTGCAACCGATGCACAGTCCTTGTCCACTGTAAACGGTTCCTACGATGTAGAGGTGTCAAGGACATGCCACGGAAAGGTCGATAGGCCCGGATACCAGCAGCACGGAGTCGCCTCATCACTGTGTACCTGCTGATGCGGTGACCTAATGCTGTCGCTGCTGACGACGTTGCAGTCAACGTTCGATTGCGTAAATGGATTATCCGCCGGTGCTGGTCATCTTGTGGTGTCGTGACTCTCGGACGTCCAGTTCGGGGTCGGTCAGCTGTCTGGCCTGTCTGTTGAACACGTCTGAACAGTCTTATTATGGTTTGTCTTGTTCACTGGAAGGACCTTGCAATATGACTGTTGGACGCCCCCATCTGTGACATACCAATGGCTCTCTCTCTTTGCGCTGGTGTAAGTCTAGGCATTTTCTTCATGTTTGTATTGTCATCTGCCATATCAGCATTGGGATGAATGTCTTTTATACCCGTTTACAAGTTGATTGCATGTGCAAGAGGGAATAATCACAATTTCCACAAATCTACACATATGGCTGCATTTTGAACATTTTACCCCTATAGTTGCGTTTGTGAGATCTATTTTCAGTGCAAATCTTGATGAATTGAAACGAGCTTCATGTATGGTGAACGAAAGTTTAGGTGTGTACTTTCTTTTGAACGTCAGTTTATAACAACTATACGACATCAGAATTGTATTTGAATGTTAATGAGCAAGAACATAACTGCCCTGCATGTGAGTGAATGAGTGAGTGCGTGAGCATGGTTATACGCCGCTTTTAGCAATATTCTAACGAAGGGGTCACCAGAAATGGGCTCGACACTCTAACTATGTGAGGAATCGAACCTGCATAAATGCTTTAACCACTAGACAAGGCAACCGCCCCCTGGCGTGGGATTATACAACAGAAGATCATCCATGAGGCAACTACGTCTGAATATTGGCTACCATGACACTGTAGAATATGATATGGTAGATATTTTGACAGCTACAGTGTTGGATAGTTCGCATGGCATTGCCAGGTTGTGAAGAGACTTGTTTATTTGTGGTGGTATGCTATGAGCATAAAAAGGGTTATCTCCCTTGGACCGCCATTCATTGGTTTCACATTAATTTTCGACTCGCTGTGCGCATGCGTAGAGCGTGTAAAAATATCCACTGGTCAACTTCCGGTTTGGTCGTATTAACGATAGTGTAAACACACTCTAAATAAAAGCTCTATGAAGATTAATTACGTGTGACAACTGTTCATAGTTGAGTACATACATCAATTTGCCTATGCTTTTCAATAATTGATGTCCTATTTTGGTGGCAACTGCATCAGAGATGTGTTTTTTTAGTTGTGAGAAGGGGATGTGCAAGAAGGACGGTGGACGGGTGGTGGTGAGATGTGTTTATACAAGAGCTTGTTAACAAACGTAAAGCTATTTATTTAACTAAGCCCGGTCCCTTGCATTCATAAATGAATTGAGATCAGTTAAATTCGACATAAAACCATATATCTGTTTTGATTTTTGCTTTCTTTAGAGTGTGTTTACACTATCGGTAAAGCATACGACCAAACCGGAAGTTGTTCAGTGGATAGTTTTTACACGCTCTGCGCATGCGCACAGCGTCGAAAAATAATGTGAAACCAACGAATGCGCTTTAGAAAATCACAAAAACAGCTGCTGGCTGACGACGAAAAAACACACCGTGACTTTGACTGTGACTGTGAGTGAAATTAACGTAAATAAGCGCATCACCGTGTCAATATGTCCGTATTATATTTCTTGTGTATCAGCCACCAAAAATAAACTATTTTTAAAAATAAGGTTTTTCTTTGTGATTAACACACAGGGGCTTGTATTGCTGAAAATAATGCGTCCTGGGTCCTACAAGCGTACACTGATATCCATATACATATAAAGAAACAGAGTGCAAGTTGGTTTAATGAGAGAATACAAACTGCTAATAAGATGTTAGAGGAATTAGGAGCTCTTCTGAATTCTTTGTCAGTTATAAGCGAACAACAACATGAACCAAGCTGTGAGGGTGAGAGGTCTATTCCAAGTAGGTCAAACAAATCAAGCCTGCAGTTTAAGGCTGAGCAAGCAAAGATGAAAGCATTTTATATTCAAGAAACTACAAGGTTAACTACTCAAATTACTGAGCTTGTAGCAAATCATCTCAAACTAATGGCTGATGTGCAAGCAAAACATGTAAAACAGGAGACATTACATGCTCAAGAAATGGCTAATCTTGAGGCAAAAATGAGACAGGATTTCATGGCAGAAAATGATGATTTTTAAGTAAAGGCAGAAGTTCCCAGACAGGTTAAGCAGGAATTAGTTCAAAATTGGTTGGATAATAAGTTTGGACCTGAAGTGAGAGACAATACACATGCACCAAATATTAGGGATCATGCACAGGAACAAGTGAGAGGTTGTGAGCTAAGATCACAGGTAAAACACAACACACAAAAATCACAAACAAGACAGCTTAACCCAAATGCCCAGTGTTTTGTGTATGAGCAATCTCAACATATGAACCGACAGTACAGGGTGGAGGGAGGCTAATGACCCATGGGTCGATAGGCTAACCCCAGGATTGGAAACTATCTTAGACAATGGATGTGTGAATACAGATAGTGCTTTAGCTCAGGCACTAGTGAAAATTGAAAGTGAACATGATCTCCCTAAAATCAACTTTCAGTGGTAAAGCAGTGGAATGGCTGCTCTTCATTGAGCAATTTTATGCACCGGTGCATTTACGTCCAGGCATAAATTATGTTCGTCGTATGGATCTTTTGCAATCACATTTGGAAGGTGATGCGAAGCACTTGGTATCAGGACTAAGTTACTCAGGTCGCAATTATGCACTAGCATTGCAAGAACTGAAGAACGCATTTGGTCACCGCATCAAGGTCAAAAGGGCCTTGTGGAGCGAATCACCTGTGATCGGTTGTGTATAGCAATGATCTGTCAGCACTCCGAAAGTTCTCTGTGTCATTACGTGACTGTATCACTGATCTCGAGCAGTTCAACTATTCGTCAGACTTGAACAGTTCAGACCTTTTGATTAAAGTTGCAAGGCGTCTTCCTATTGATAAAGTGTCGCGTTGGAACGAATTTGTGAAAAATGTAACCAGAAATCGAGAACCAAATTTGTATGACCTATTGCAATGGCTCAGGGACAGAGTGGACACCGACTTTAACCCCTTTGCTTTTTCGGTCTCCAGTGAGAAAACGCGTGGAAGATGGGCAGGACATACCCCTTCTAAAGAACCGTCAAGGGAAACTATGGTTTACAATACGAAGATTGATGTCGTACCAGGAAAGCAACCACCCAATTGGCAATCATCTCTATTTGAAAGTAGGCAGTACCACAGCAGCTTATTACCGTGTGACAACACGGTTGGAACCTGCAAGATCACATCAAACGAGCAAAGCTCCAAGCAGAAAATGCCATGTCCCATGTGTAAGGAACCACACTACTTTTATCATTGCCCGACCTTTCTAAACAAGTCTGTGAGTGATAGACGCTTGATTATTGCAGGTATCAAGCTTTGTTCTAACTGTCTGAAACCTTTGCATCAGGCTGAGAAATGCTTCTCTACCATGACTTGTCATGAAGACGGATGTGGCAGAAAACATCATTCGATACTACATGAAACAAGATTTACACCAGCTCAAACCATCACAAAGAGGATGCAGACATCTAGAGATGCGGTGTATTTCCAGATAGTGCCTATTCAAGCTCAGGGGCCAAACGGAAGAGTGATGAAGACGTATGCGTTGCTAGACTCTGCAAGTGATACCACATTGATTCATGAACAACTTGTTCATGACCTTGGTCTTCAAGGGGACCGACGAGCACTAAAGGTAACAACGATCAATTGTAC